CTGCAGTCCAGAAACTTACTTTTAATGGCCCCTGCTTCGTCACCATTGTAGTTTTCTAACGAGCGATTACAATAACGATTTTTTAGATTAAAAACAGCTCAATAATGAGCCCTCGATGTCAATCAGGCTAACAAGGGTGGAAACAAACAGTTTATCTCTTTAGAAAAGAAACTTGAACTGAAAAAATAAAATATTAAACTTAGCTATGGAGAGTATGTTGATAATCTTGGAAGAATGCTTCATGAAAACCTCAGTGGGAACTGTGACTCACCTGTTGCCTCCGTGTCTATCTTTGATCTCAGCTCTCCTCAGGTAGCAGGTCTGTCCACCAGGTTCAGGTTTGGACCACCAGAAGACCTGCTGCCTCAGACATCAGCCTCACATTCTGACCTGGGACAGTTGGCCTCTCAAGGAGGTATCACACATGCGCACACACGCAGTGACACCTGAACTAATCTGAAACATTTCATCCATTTTTTTAACCCTTAATCCTATGTACTGTGTGCGTAGGTCTGGGGATGTATGAGTCTCCACTGTTCCTGGCCGCTCATGATGAAGATGGAGGAGGAAGGAGTGTCCCCACCACACCTTTACAAGTGGCTGCACCAGGTGAGACACTCTACATTATGACAGTGCAACATGTCTCAGTTTTAACTCCAAATGCTACATTGTGACTCTCTGTCTCCATCAGTGACGGTCTTCACAGAGTCTCTCCCCTCAGACAGCGGTGACAACATGGCATCCCAGTCGGTTCCTATGGTAACCGCCTCCACCGGGATGGCTTCTTCTGCAGATGATGGAGATGAAGTGTTCATGGAGCAGGAAGGAGAGGGGTGAGTCAGGCCTGAGGTGTTAGACTGACACTGGAAAACTTGCATCAGTCTGCACTGCAGAAGGCGACGTAATCTGTAGGTTTGATGTCAGCAGAGAAGCAGAAATGTGACAAAGAGGTTTGAGGTTTGAGTGATTTGTCTTGGTTGTGAAAGCAAATGACTAAGGCCCTGTCAACACACATTCAGATATTTCTGAAAACGGATATTTTGCCTCTTCATTTAAAACAATAAATTTCTGACTGCACAACATTTGCTTTACAAAATATGTCCATTCACACTAAAACCCAAAAACTACTCCCAATGCTCACTAGTGTTAGCAGTCCTAAGCAGTCTCTCCTCACTGCAGAGGTCATAGCGTGAACTGGCTATGTTAATTTACTCAAAATACCTACTGGAGATCTCCTCAATGTTGATTCCCGTTCAATTTAAGGACAAAGAGCTCACTCCAAGATACAAGTGATGTCCTGTTTTCATTCCACTCCTCATCAACAACAATCCCATTCTTGAAATTGTTCCACCATCTGCTGGTTGAGATTGGGCCTTGTCCAAAACTGTTGTTTCTGGTGGAGTTTAAACTGCAGATGCTGAGGTGGAGCAGTAACACCACAGACACCTCAGTTTGTCCTGTAAGTGGCGCAGCAGTAGAGTTTAAGTGTAAAGTTGTCATAAGACCAAGCAGTGCTAGTAAAATGTAAACAAGGTGGTAGTCAGCCATTGTTGTTTTCTGTTGGCACATGCTCATTACACAAAGTAACAATGGAAATACACAATGCAATGTTTTCAGAAGTCTATGTTTTAGTGACTTAAAACTCTGCATGTAGACAAGAAGCTAAAGCGTTGAGGAAATTCTCTGTTTTCAAAAATATCCGTGGACATTTGTATATTTGTGTTGAAGGATTGTGTACTATTTAACTGTAATCAGAATATTCCAAACATCACTTTAAGGGTGGAGTATTTGTTTTTGAGTGCAGTATTTGTGTTTTCAGTCCTGGTATTGAATCCTCATTGGAGAGCCAAACAGACATGGAGTCAGCAGCACAGCAGAGTGATGATGCATCACTACCATCTACCAGCCAGGACCCTGGTAATTCCTTCTGTTTACTAGCAGTTTAATTTTCTATAGGAACCCTCAGCCAATGCTGTGAACAAAACTTAAGCGTCTATAGTCACAGGACTGTGGTGCCTTTTTCTCATTCTTACATGTTAGCTTCCACTTCAACACAACCTTTTACTTGTTTTAGTTGTCATGGACTGGAAGTCTGGAATGAAAAAAGAGCTGCTACTAATGATTATTTTCATTTATATGATGGTTATTTTCTTGACTGATTAATTTCCTGAAAAAAGTGTCAAAAATTATGGTTACGATTGATATATTTAAATTGTCTTACCTGACCAACAGTTAAACACAAAAATGTTCAGTTTGGCATCATATAACATCAAGAAAAGTATAGAATTTTTTATTTTTTTTTAATAAGTGAAGCCATTACATTTTTGGCTTGAAATTAACTGAAGTGATCTAAATAGTTGCTTATTTAATATTTTCAGCTTTTAACTTTTAGTTTTTACAGCAGCAGGTCAGCAGGTGATGAGGTCACTCATCATTATCATACAACCAACTTGCTACATAGATTCATTACAGTCCTCTTCATTCAGTGTAATCTTCTATAAATGACTACATCTTTGTAGGAGATAATTATCTGTATAACCTTCCTCTCTTCAAACTCTTACCTAAGAAGTTTGGCTTGTTTGTTGCCAATCCTCACCAGTCACTTATATTCTACATTATTGCCTCAAGCCCTTCAGCTGTGAAAAGGTTTTTCTGAAAAAAATGTTCTATATTGATCTAGGTTCTCTTTATGCACATGAAATGTAACTGAAGGCAACCACCTGCATTGGTTGTTGCTATGGCACTGTTTTCAGGATTTAGGATAACAACAACATAAAATTCTACATATGAATTGTTTATTCCATCCATAGGTCAAAACACTGAAACCACAACTGTACTTTGTATTTGTGTTCACAGATGTCAGTGTGTTGATGTATATAGCATGTCCTGATGAGACAAGCTTGTGTTTTGTCACTGCAAGTCTAAAATGCACTCACTACTCATCTCTGGTTTTCTTCATAGACACCAGCAGTGCTGCTCAGCGGCGCACAGTGACCGGTCTGATGAGCAGCCTGTCAGGCAGAGGAAGCAGAGGAGGGAGGGGCGAGGCCAGGACGTTACTCAGCCGCAGAGGTAAGAAACTAAAACAATGCTGGATCACTAAACTTTCAGTGTGTTCGGGAAAATTATGCAGGGTTAGTCGAGGGAAACTTGGCATCATCTGGCAGATTTTCACTGATTCTCAGGCTGTTGCCTTAACTACGGATACGACCTCCTCATTTTTGTATGCCTGCAACTACCATGGATAGAAAAAGTATAGAAGCAGATCAGGAGAGAGAACCTGCCCCTCTCACTGCCATTGCATTGCCCATTCATCTCCTAAAATTACTTCGGAAACATATTCTTTGCTCTGTTTGGTTGTAATACAAGATTTTGTGAACAGGAAGTGGGCGCCATACTGTTTACTTTTTTGTAAAAACAGAGGCTGAAAAAACTGAACTCAACCTGTAAAACTATGCAGTGCTGATCAAATATGGACCAAGATTCGGATACTGCGTTGCCTATTTCTCACCTCAAATGTTTGCAGAAACATATTTTACCTTACTATTTAGTTGTGAGCTTGTGATTGCTAGCCAGCTCCTCAATTCACATTAGGTCACCCACCAGATGGAGCATTTATTGGTCCTGTGCAGCACAGTGCATCCTGGTGTAGTTGTTGGTTTTCTACCTCTTGAGAAAAAGCAAATGCCACAGCCCTTTTCCTCTGTTTCTCTGGTCATGTAGTACCAATTTCAAAAGTATTTGCATCTGTACTGCATAAACAGCCTAGTTTTATGAACAGACCATCTTTCCAGCTGTGAAATATCTCTTAAAAATCCACTTGATAATCACTGTTGTTGTACAAGCAGAATAAACTCCAGTCACTCAAAGGGTTATGATGAAGCTGTTTATTGAAATGCAGAAAGCAGAGAGCAGCATACACATGGTTACAGATCCTGTGGGGATAATAACATGAACAACAATACTGTAGGATCAAATGAAACACTTTGATCATTAATTCTAAACTGCTTTCTCCCCACATTTGACTGTTTTTAGGTACTTTCTCTCGGGGAGGAAGGGGCGGAGCCATGGGTAGAGGGGGCATCGCCTAATGACGACGTCACTAGTAGCAACTCAGCTGTCTCATCCAATGAGAAAATGAAAAGATGATGCTTTTTTCCTTTGTTTTTGTTTTTTTTTTTGTTGAATTTTGAGACATTCAGTATTCACAATAAAGTCCAATCAAAATCAATAATCACACTATGACACAGAGATATGACATCTTTTTATGTGTGCGACTCTTACTCTGAGATATGTAAGGTCAGATTGTTTGTGAAATCCAGTGAGTTTTAGTTGTTGTAATTTTAGTTTCACATGTATTCATGAGAGCATTGCCATTTTGTTAGTATCCTCAGTTTGCTCTGTCCTTGGCCTGTTAATACACTTGTTTTAATAATAAAGTTGAATAAGGAGTAGCAGCGATATGTGTTTTTTTTTTTTTTTTTTTTCTTATCAGTTGGCTAGTCCATGGGGTCAGTTTTATATTGAATTATTTTAATTTTTCTTTTCTTAATTATTTTGTTTTGGGTTTTTTTGGCTATTTATTGACTAAAACAATAACTTTTTAACATAAAGATAATCATTAATTACAGCCCTAAACACAATAATGGATGACACTTTTTATACTTGAACAAAGTAACAGGTTATTCTGAAAATTCCTCCAAGTGAATTAGTTCCACCTACTACACAACCATAGGAAATGCAACTTTTCAAAAAGCATTTACTCCGGTAGAACTGAGCTCTTAAGTGTCTTTAGCAGTTGAAAGTTGCATGGTTTGATAGCAAGAGAGGGGCCCTAAAACTTTGGCAACATTGCATGAAAAATGTACTTCTATAAATTGAAAATCGTGATATGAATGTATCAGAAGAAATAGTATGTTGTCACGTTTTATTCACTAGAACTTGCTGTGCTGTTGCAGAAATGACCAGAACATGGCCTCTGTCACCTTATCAGGATGTCCCTAGGGACAGCGCAGCCAGACTCTGATGGAGTTGGTTGGAAGGGGAGGGTTAGCATTTTGAGCAGCTGTGTTGGCAGAGTTGGTAGCCATGACAACAGGGCTGAGGATGGGCATGGGTGCGAGGACTGCCAAGGGGTCAGGTTTGGCCAGTGCTGGCAGGTCACCTAAAATCTGGATGCTGAAGAAGAGAGCTGTGGAGAAGACAGAAGAGTTAATGATTTCAGCTCAGATAAACTTTACCAGAGTAATCACACCTCATACACAAATCAGCATCTGGTGGAGTGGAATGCCTCTGAGACTTATTGAAACACTGACCTGCATTAAAACACAAGAAATACAGTCTATATGTGGTTCACAGTCGTCATGGTAAACTACTATTTTTTTCTGTCTAATGAGAATAACCAGGATGGTTCTTACGTCCGGAGAAGATGTAGTGCTCATATGGGTCACTCCTCAGAGGGCTGGGCATGGACAGAGCTGAGGTGACGGGTGTGGGGAATCCCTTCAGAGACAGTTTGATGTTGATCTCTCCACTTAGTAGAACTTATGGGTTTGAGAAATAAAAACAAGCATTTTAAGTACATTTAAGAAGTGCATGCCTACTTAGTTAATTGATAAATTAACCCCCAAAAAAGGTCTCATGTTGTGAAAAGTCAGATTTCCATTTCTTTTTAAAAAATAAAGCAGGTATAAGTGTTATATAAATACCAAGATATCAAAATACTCAGTCCACAGAGAAATGCACACAGTTCGTATTCAGAAACTGTGCCTTTAAACTAGCCATCTACAACAAAATCTGCTGTATTTTCATTTGACCAGTTCCCTGGGGTTTGAAGGAACAGTCTAACATTTTGGGGAAAATGCTTCGGTGGGCTACTGACCAGCCTGCCGTCTGTTCAAGGAGCTCCTTGGTTTAATGCTGCAGGAGGGAGTGCTGCCTGGTGGGAAGGTGAACGTCTGCATGATGTCTCCTGTGGGACAAACACAGAGAGCTACTGTCAGTCATGTCCATAAACTCAAACAGCATTAAAAAGACACACTGTATGTCCATCTACGTGCAAGTTTGTTCTTTTCATTTATAGAGATGACAGAGCTCCTTGCTTTACATCCATACAGCCACACAGGTACTGAGAGCTGCCCAATACAACAAACAACCACACTGTTTTGAGCAAGAAAGTTCAGTTTGGACCTTGGTATCACTGTGTGTGTGACAAAGTAATCTCAACCTAAAAGTCCACTCACTAGCTTTTTTTCAGACCTCCCAACTGCATCTCACTGTCTTCAACAGAGAATATAAGGTGTCAAAAAAATAACAGCGCCTACCCCACCAAACTGCACTCAGCGTCATTTACTAATGACGACTGTGAGCTGTAGTTAAAAGCCACAAAATGCAAGTTTAGTGGACCTTGAGTTGAGATTATATTTCTCACACAACCAGACTGCTCTGGTCGCCAGTTGATAGTTATAAATTTAGTGCCTTGATTGTTAGCTGTTGTGTGGAACTAGCTGCTCTTGGGATTCAGCATCTTGTACTTTAGGTGAATTCCTCCCAGCCCTAGACCGTGCCTCTGTCCCTCTGTTTATCAGTTTAGTTGTGTCTTTCTGTATTCCTCACCAGGCTTAAAGAAGTATACAGTCTCTGGTCTACTTGTGGTTGCTGGTACTGCCAGTGCAGCGCTGATGCTTCCTGTCAGACCTGGGAACTCAGCGGCCAGAGGTTTGGGGTAGCCCGGCTCCATCACCATGTTCCCATCTAGACGCCAGTACTGGTCTCCCTAGATCAGTGGATGAAGAGGACAGATGGTGAAAAAGAGGGTAACTGCGCACTGACTTCCATCATCACAGAGGGAGCTTATTTGAGAAAGTATGTGAAAGTTTGTGAGATGCACAAACCCAATGTCCAGAAAAGTGCAACACATGAAGAAGTCAGTAACTTCATAGTCCCACAAATTGGAAAGATTTAATATCAAAATCATATTTGGCTAATGGCCCATTTTTTTCAATTCCTATTGTAGACTTCAGCATATAATCAAAGTACAAAAAAACAAGCTGTTATTATTTTTTTGTGTGTGTGTTGGAGTCATATATAAATAACATCAACAAATTATTTTTTCATTTTTCAATTTGGGATTCCCAGCTGAATATGAACAGAACAAATGATACACAGATTACGTATGAAACCTAAACCTAATGAAACTGCTCCCACTGAAAACTGATAAGGCTGACAGCCTGATAATGGCCTTCTGAACCTACTAGTAGGTGTAGCAGGCCCCTTCTAACCCATATCTATAAGGCTGATAGCCACTCATAACAGGGTGCCCACCCAAAATACTATCTGTCCAGAATGATGTCCAACAGATTTACCCGATAGCTGTGCTATAATAACTGCAAATTTAAAGCAACATATTTGCTCACAAAATGATCTGAACATGTCGCATTTCCATTTTTTGGAAAGAAACTATGGGATTTTTTTTTTTTCAGATTTGAACTCTCCAACAACTGGACTATTCTAGATTGGACTCTTCTATTTGGTGTCACTGTGATGGGAATAGGAGCAATACTTAAACTCTAGTATCAGAAATTTTTGTTGTATTATTCTAGTCTTCTTAACAGTGGTGGCACTGGTGGTGTCAGTAGTTATAGTAAGAGTCATAGCAGTACTGACACAGTGGTTGTATATTGGGATATAGTGATATTTGTACCTTGATGATGTAGGTGTGTCCGTGGCAGTTGCAGCGTGTGAAGACAGTATCGATGGGAGACGGGACACCCAGAGTGTCTGTGATGCTCTGTGGATGACCAACTAAGTGACTGACAGGGTCCACTGCCCAGAACAGCTCATCTGAAACACACATATAGGTGATACAGCTCACACAGGACACTCTGAGACTTCACAGAATCACATTATCTGTTTATTACACATCACACTCAAATCATAAAGAATATATAAACACAATATTGACTTTATATGCTTAAATATGTGTTTCTTCCCAATATTGTGTTTGCAGGATATCCTTTTATACTGGAGTCATTACACACACTAGAAACAGTATCTGGATGACTGACCTTTAAATATCAGTATGGTCCCATTGCTGAGAGCTGTCAGTCCATTAATGGGAGAATCACTGCATAGGTTGACATCAGCAAGGAGTCCTACACACACACACACACACAATTTATCAGACACACTAAAAATCCATTATTACGTCTGCAATTTATTGGCCCAGTTAGTCAATTTTGATTTTTTCATGTATTTGAATTTTCAGTATTTTTAGTATTATTAGTCAAACAAAAAAAGTCATTCTGATACAGCAACATGTTCTTACTCCCAACTCATTACATGTCATCAGTTGTGTGGTGGACTTTTGATGTCTACATATTACACGCTAAGTATTCTGGGTGCGTCTGTTGTTGACGTCCTGGGATGCTGTGTCAATTTACGCCTGTTAAAATGCATTGTGTCTTTCAAAATTCACCTCCCTTTTCACAGGAAATGTACAGTTTTTGCTTGTTAGATGTATACAGTCAGTACAGGAAAAACACCGTGTATTTACTTGTTCCTTGTGCAACAAATGCATGTGGTTAGGTTCAGAAAAAAACATCATGGTTTGGCTCAACATCCATACGCTGACATCATCTGGCGGCGTTATACACTGGTGCTGTCAGTGTCTGATGCAGAAAGCACCGACCAATCAGTGGTATTTGACGACTTTAGACACCGAATGTGTCAAGAGAAGATCATTCTGATCTGTTCAAAAATATATGTAATATAAAAATTTGTAATATTTCTAATATCATGTATGTAAAGATAAAAGTGACTGAATTTGGTCAAAATGCAACACACACGCATACACTTGTCCTACCTGTCCCTGGTCTCTCAGATCCTCCTTCCACCACAGGGAGACCCAAGGCTTGGGCTACATCCTGCAGGGTGCTGGGTCTGGGCCTGGAGCCAGCTGGGCCACTGAGAGCTGCTGCTGGAACTACTGCGAACAAAAATAGTTATTAAAGTGTGTGGTCAAATGCAATAAATACTATTATTAATTTAATTTTACTTATTTGGGTTACAATGAGTGCTTTATAACAAATCGAGAGGCGGATACACCCTGGACACATTGCCAGACTATCACAGGGCTGACACACACAAAAAAAACAACCATTCACACCTACAAGCATTCAGAGTCACCAGTTAACCTAATGTCCTTATGGTCTCACATGTCTTTGGACTGTGGGAGGAAGCCAAACAACCCCCACACCAACTGGGAATATGCATACTCCACACAGAAGGGCCCCAGTTTGAACCTGGAACCCTTTTGTTGTGAGGCAACAGTGCTAACCACCGCACCACACCACTGTGCCGACCAAAAATGTAATTTAAGTTAAATCAGATTTAACAAATGATGTGTTAAATCTCTGTCAAACTAACCTTTACTTGGCCCAGATGGAGCCACTCCTTTAGGCGACAGCAGCAGGTGGACATTGCCATTAACAGCTCCATCACCAGCAGGACTGACAAGAGCACTGCCGTCCAGGGTTGGAGCACTGTAGCGGGGCAGAGAGGAGCCAGGTGCTGGTGAAGCTGGAACTTCGCTATGAGTGGAGGGGATGGACACTGGCAGTCGACCAACAGGGATGTTACCCACACCTACAGGAGAAAAAAAGAACCAGGAAGGTTTTCATGTTTTACATAATAAGTCAAAACAAAATGATCTTTTAGGAAGAAATTACATTTTAAAAGAAGAAGGCCCCTTGCACCAGGACAGTGACCCCCAGCGTACTGTGAGCAGAGAGCCCTCACTACATAAAAAACAATATGAATTTAAATGACCATAATAAACTGCATTATTTATTTAATACAAGTAATACAGAAACTGACAGACACATCCACAGCTATGTTTTGTAGGTTTGCTACAATCCATCAACAATGAACACTAGTATTGTGTTCTCAGTGGTTAGAGATTCAGTTCAGTGTAGGATTTAATGGCATCTAGAGGTAGGGCTGCAGAACGGAAACTTCTCCCATGAGCCAAGCATGTAGCTACAGTGGCCCTATCTAGAGACAGTGTTTGGTTTGTCCGTTTGGGGCTACTGTAGAAAGAACATGGCGAACTCTGTAGTAAAGGACAATCTCAGTATGTAGATATAAGCGGCTTATTCTAAGGTGATGAAAACACAATGTTTTTTTATTTTCAGGTGATTTTACACTAATAAAAACATAGTTATGAACATTATATATAATTTTGCCGATAGAGGCCCCTAAAACAGTGCCTCATCAACATGGTCAGATTAACCTGTTAGAGAGCCCAGAGGCAAAAATGTGCTATTATGTTATTGGTTAATGATGTTTGATGAGAGGATCAATACCTCTCACACGTCTGTACAACAGCCAAGCCTGGCTTTATCCAACAGTAGCAAAATCCACTGGCACATAACCCCTTGTAAAACCACAATGTGCTGTTTTTACATCCTTCCTCATTCCAAAATTGTCAAATACCGCCACTTGGTCACTGATTTCAGTGTCAGACACAGACAAAAAAGTCATCCTTTAGAACAAAATAGATATAATATCATAATTATATGTGCTGTTTGGCATATATACAGTAGTTGTGTTTGGACTGAGCAGATAGCTGTTTCCCATTGTTAAGATTTGTTCTCACTCTGAATAAAACACAAATTCAACATGAAAACAACATCTACCTGTGTACCATTCCTCACTCTCACTGTTGGATCTTTTCCAGCTCCTCCCTAGCTTCTGTTTTCCTGAGGAGGAGAAAATAATGGGGGAAAATGAAAGATATCAGTTTTATGCAGACTGTGAGGACACACCTGTTATCCAACAGCAGTTGGTTCATCAGGAACATAAAATGGCAGCTACTCAGTATTGCAACACGTTTCAAGCTTGGCTGAGGAGTGTGAAGTTTAGAGTTATATAATTTAACATACTTTATTAATCCCCCTGAGGGGAAATTCAATTTTTTCACTCTTGCTGTCAATTACACACAAGTTCGAAAGACACACACATGTACAAACAGGACCTATACATGCACAAGGTGGAGAGATGTCAGGGTGGGGCTGCCCCGAGCGGTTGGTGGTTTGGTGCTTTGGTCAAGGGCACCTCGGCAGTGCCCAGGAGATGAACTGGCACCTCTCCAGCCACCAGTCCATGCTCCATATTTGGTCCGGACGGGGACTCGAGCAGGCGACCCTCCGGTTCCCAACCCAAGTCCCTATGGACTGAGCTACTGCTGCCCCATATATTGTCTACCCAAGCCTTTTGTGTTGGCTCATTAAAGCTCATTAAGTACATTTTCAAAAAATATTCTTTCAACTCAAATTAATTTTCCATTTTCCATCTTCTGTCTCACAGCTTCTGTATTTTGACAGTATTTATGAGCTATAAATGGCAGGTTTAAGTACCAATATAAGGATTTGATTGGTTACTGTATTCAAAGAACAATAATGAATCTGGTAAATGATAGCAAATCCAGCATAAAAGCTACACTGGCAGAGAAAGCAAAGCTCTTTTACTCATTAGTTAGATGTTACTGCTGGGTGCTAACCTGAAGCTGCAGCCCTCAGAGGCTGGAAAGTCCTGGTGTGTGAAACTGACACACTGGCATCTGTGGACAGAGAGACAAACTTTTTTAAGCTTCATTATGTCTTTAAACTTTATTATAATTGTGTATGTGTTGCTAGGTCACAGCGGGGCACTGTGTGTATGTGTTGTAGCTGTGGTTGTTGTGGTTGTTGGCCATTACCGCAGTGTAGCTGGTAGTCAGGACAACAGGTGTTGTACTTGATGCACTGTGGATCACACTCACACAGCAGACCGCGCCTAAATGCTTCACCACAGCGACCCTGACAGGACTGAGCTGAGAACAGACAGATCAACACAGCAGAGTGCATGTTTCAACATAGTCCAAAACTGAAATTTAGCAAACAGTTGCCCATTTACACATCCAGGAGACAAACAGCAACTTAAGCATTCATCTGGAGTCTGGTTTTAGCTACCTGACAAATTCCCATCCAATTCACTCTCTTTGTTCTCCTCTAAATCCTAAGAAACTATCTGGAGCTTACAGCTATCAGGTGAACCACAGTCTAGTTAGTAACTTTGTCTGTCTGCCATTTAATGCTGAGCAGGGATACTGTACACTGAGTTTATTACAGCTTGTTTGCTACAAAAAAATAGCTGCCTGATTCTGCTAGAAACTGAGAGCAGTGAAACATACATTAAATGTGCTGTAATACCAAAACAATGAGCCAAGGATTTCGAGGTTATTAGAAACCAAAGAGACTTCACAGCTCAATAGAAATCAATACATCAAGCTAAAGATGCTAAGAGTTTCATAGAAACCCAAACAACAATTTAAAGAGGCTCAGTAGTTCTATAAAAAACAATAAATGAGCTAAGCAACAATTTATTGGATATTATAAAATAAATATTTGTGCAGCTTTAAGATGAAAGCATATAGCATATGCTGCAGTATTTAATCACCATAAACCAAGACTCTCATTGCCTGCATTTCTTTTCCTTGACCTGTTATACTTATCTGTCCTTTCCTTCTATCCTTCAAATTAGCACAGATGAATTGATAAAAATGTACTGTCTTGATTTATTGAGTGTCTTACCAGCGGTGCAAGTAGCGTGAAAGTCTGGGCAGCACTCATTGTGTTGCAGGCAGCCGAAGTCACAGGTACACTGCTGGCCTCTGGTGAAAGCCTCGCCACAACGGCCCACACAGCTTCCTGGAGAGAGACGACGCGCGTGTGTGTGTGTGTGTGATTTCAGTCACACTTTAATTTTAATTTGTTAAGCACTGTAAGTGTCCTATATGGCATCATTACTTTGGTATCATCAAATGGACTGTAAGACATCCCAAGGCACTATAGACCGAGTATTAAACATTTTTATTGGGCATTTTGAGACATAGCAGGTGTGTTACTAAAAGATATTTTTTTTTAACATTATAAGGTATTACATGTGCATTATGAGAAATTTCAAGATATTAAAAGGTACATTTTGCTGTATCAAAATGTGATTGCAAGTTGCTATAGGTGCAGTGTACACATGACAAGGTATTTTGCACACTAGATGATATGATAGCTTCATTAGTAGACATTTTATACTACAGCAGGTGCACTACCAGATCATAATCAGAAGAAGGTTAGATAAATATGTCAGAGCTTACCTGGTCCAGCAGCAGCAACAGCAGTGTAGGGCACAGCAAGACCAAGACAAAGAAGCCACAGTGCCATTTTCATCACCATCCTCATCATCATCATCTCTACCCAAGACTCTGTCTTAACTGAATCTGAACCAAACAACAACAGCGTTATAGAAATGGAGTGTAAGAGAGACACTGGCACAGTAATTGAAAGAAACTGAGAGTCAGTGTGTCACCTCTCCCTGTCTTCTTTCAACCTCTCAGTTTGTTGGTCTTATATATGAGACAAAGGCACTGAGACAGGACACTTTTAATTAGCATCACACACAACCACACACTCATACTACACCCACAGACTAATTAAAAACTGCCAAGACGTATTTAAACTTCCTACACTGGCAATAAATGAACTCCTACACACAGAAACCCGCTTCCAGACCAGAGATGGAAAGTAACTAATTATAAATTACCTCAGGTACTTTTTACTGTTTGTTTTTGGTTGCACAAGAAAAAGACTGTCTTTTACTTCTTTCTTAATAGTTGCATTTTTTTTAAATTCTACATTTTTTTGAAGTAAATAATTTCTTTGCCAACTATTTTTTTTAAGTTAATCAACTGTAATCAATGTTTTTCTCCTTCCCCACATATGATATTACTCCTACCTGTTGCCCTTTGGTCACATTTTCTCTGCAAGCCAACTTGAGGAATGAGGTGCTTGTGCCAGCCAAAGCTGATGTCATGTGGTTAAGACAATTATTTAGTGATTTTATATTGTTCAGCTCAGTCCATAGGTCATAAAAAGTGTCTACAAGTGGGTGACTTTCACAAGGAGAGGATGAGGGGAAAGAGCCAAAGAAAGGTAATGAATGAGAAGGGTCAATCTGCTGGGGCATTTATATCTATGGAGATGCTTTCCCTACTTCTTACCCCGCTTCTTCCAGTGCCAAATCCATTTTTAAATTTGGCTTGGCCCTCAAATTGATCTCATCTACACACCTGTTAAGTTTTGTGACTCTTTCTTGTACAGTTGGAGCAACTGACAGACAGACAGACAGACAGACAGACAGACAGACCAGAAGTCACATGGCAAAACCACCTTCATGGTAGTTCCCGCTACAGTAGGTGCCACCAGTAACCACATTTTGCCACGATGACACACACACACGCACACACACACACACACACACACACACACACTGACTCACCACCTGTTTTCTCATGACTGAGCCATGGAACTTCAGCCATGTAAAAACAAGTGGTCATTTTTTTGATATCTTAGCCCTTTCCATGACAACTGAGCAAAATCCACCCACTGACGAATGACTGCAAATCTGCTGAGAATATTGTCAATCTTCTGGTCAGTCTGTGACAGTGGTTCCCAACCAGGGGGTCGCAGTCCAAAAGTGGGTCGCAAGTCCATTCTAAATAGACTGCAAGTAACTCGTAAATGTGTCATGTTTGTAAAAAGAACACTTTATTTTAAAATTCAGTCAATATCTGGCACAGAGCTTTCATTCTGAAGTGCTGTTTCCTGCTACCCCGGAAATCCAGAGTTCTCGCGAGAGCACAGTTTGAATTTGCTCAGCGAGTCACTCTGGCAATCAGTAATGATGCTCATTACCCATGCCCTTGGAGCCGAGCTGCACCAATCACATCGGTGTATCTGATATAGGTGGGCCAGAGGCGAGCTAAACAGATGACGACAGCGCTGCGACGACGAAGTCCAGAATCAGTCAGTAAACATTGCAAGATGGCTACGGATGAACACTAGTTGTTTGAAACTGCTTTGGCTGCTACATTGAACGAGTTAGTCTTGGCTTTTTCTCTAAAAGAGGAATAGAAGATTGCGCTCGAATCTTTCCTTTGCAAGAAGGACGTTTTTGCTGTTTTGCCGACCAGATACGGCAAGAGTCTAAACAACTGCTCTGCTGGTAGCGCTCTAGATACGTCACCCCGTATATTGTTCTGATTGGTCGTAGTGTTATCCAATTGCGTTCAGTGATATTTTCAAAAGCATGCTTGGTGCCGCCCCTTGAGTTGGACCATTTGCATTACTCATAGCCAGACTCTAAATCTTTCTAGATTTGGGTCTGGATTTCCAAGCTAGTTTCCTGCTGTAGAGTGAGTAAATAACTGACAGCTACTTAACAGAGACAGCAAACTAGCTCAACGACATGGTCAAATGCAAGTATGATGCTGCGTGGACCTTTAACCAAAGGAGAGTCTAGACCCTGTGGCTGGACCATTTGAGAACCACTGGTCTATGATATACAATAACAGTAAATTCTGATATACCAATTTATACCAATTCCCACAAATCCATAATCAGGATTCTTTGAAACATCCATATATATTGTCAAAAATCTAAAGTATTGTCTATGAACATGGTCTTAACAATATTCTGAATGCTATCTGTTACAGATTAGTTTATCTTTCTTCTAGAAGTTGTAAGTTAGCATATGGCTCTGGGATAATTCATGGTGCTGGTGGTGGTGCATAAAGCAACAAATGGACTATAATTTAACTCTTCCAAACCCATCTTTTATACAATTTCCCCTATATTCCATTCAAAATTTCTTTCATTAACCTTAGCATACTCCCAACATTCTCTTAAAGCCTCAGTGGTGAGTTTTTCCTTTCCACATCCTTTTAATATTTTTTCTGGTCTAACGTGTCATCACCAGCTTCTACTAATAGATCATTTACTGGACTTGTTCTCATAGCCCCTAAACATAGTCTTAATACTCTGGTTTAAACCCTGTCTAGTCTTTGTAAAATTGTCTTACATGCTTTTCCATATACAGCCATAATCTATAGTGGATCTTATTAGTGCCTGATATATATGTAAAAGTGATAGTCAGCCCCTCAGTCATAACCGCAGAAATTCCTCATGAGGTTTAAAGTTTTCTTACATTTGGTTTCTGTGTTTTATATGAGAATCCCATGTATTCTTTTCATCATATCATAATTATAAATATTTGAGACCCGGCAGTCTCTAAGGTTGTCTATATAGAGGTAAATTGCAGTTAAATGGTGTTTTCTTTTGTGAAACAGCAAATAACATTATTTAGGTAGTGAAATCTTGGAACCCAAATTATATGACAATGTTTAAAGCAGTCTGAACATTTTGAACAACATGACTACATTTCTTCCTCTTTTCCAGCTTGCCCCATCTTTTGCACATATGATGCACTATTTTCTCTGTTTACATCCCTAAATACACCATTTATCATTATATGGAAAAGGATAGTGTGAATAACACTTCCTTGTGGAATTCCAGTTTGTATTTCAAACTCTTTAGATATACCTGATCCCACTTAACCCTGAAAGTATGAACTGATAAAAAAAAATCTAAATACCAGATTGATTCATTTTAATTAGTGTCCCCTCCTTTCGCATCGAATTTTATGTCTTTTTTAATATTTAAATAAACAAGTGCCATTACTTCTTCTTCTTCTTCTTCTTCTTCTTCTTCTTCTTAACTCATATGAAGAGTTCTTTTTCAACATCATTACTCATCTTCACTAAGACCCCCCCCCCCCCCCCAAAGCAGTTTTGGTTAGAGTTTCAAATTGATAGTTTATCATATTTTATGTGATGAATAAATTATTTGGCTACCAATCTTGTTTCTCTGGGGGTGATGCCCCACAAGGTGATTTAATATAAATTTAATCATATTTTATAATAAAAATGAATAATTCAATTCAAATTATTATATGATATTTCTTATAGCCATTTTAATACACTTATCCACACATTCCCACCAGCCTCAACCACTTGGCAACAGTCTGACCACTGAGCTGGGTCTCTCTTCAGACTGTCCACCACAGGGGTGAACTTAGAGTTGTGTTGGGTTACCTAAACTGAAAGATGTTAATCACATAAAAAATATATTTTCATAAAGACAGAAGTTTAAATTAAAGTATTTTAAAAGTAGCAAAAGTCTCTTTGACGTCTGTTACAAATCAGCTTGTTGACACTCTTACAGGGCATCTGCTAGAGACATAATACAATGTGAATGAGTCACTGCAGCAGACCGAACACATCAACACACCCACTCTGTTCCCATTCACCTGTTGGTCTGAATGACTACACACATGCACGCCGCCTGTTTTTTTAATGCTTAATTTCTAACAGTCAATTATGTGTGATGGCAGCCCTCTAATGAGCCCTCGGGAAGAGGTGTGGTTACAGTGAGGTATTGTGATTGGTCAGATGGTCAGATTAAAGCAGCTCATTAAACTTTATTAGCACCCCACATTGTGACCATGTACAGACTGTGGGATTCATGCTGGCGGGCAGTTCAGAGCACTACACACATATTCACACACACTTTTTTGGTGTAGAGAAACAGGAGGCCAGACAGACATTATGAAACATGTATTTAAAGTGTGTCTGGCAAAGGACACATATCTTAAAAAAGAGCAGAGATTCGTTCAACCTGACCATGTGACTGTAAGTTTAGTCCTTTTATACATTAAGTCAAACAGTTCATTTGAGAAACATGTGTGTTTCTCAAACGAGCTGTGAAGGGAGCTGACAGGATGTTTGTAGATTCACATTCACTTTATGCAGATTTACTGCTCCTACTACCAGTTGACACTGGTAATGGCTCCCTGATGAGACTGTGGGTTGCTGACCAGTGTCTGCTCACATTACCTCATCCTCCTGGTATCTTCCCGTCACTCTCTTCACTTGTTCCTACCCATTATTTCAGCTTTATAGCTGATGCCAATTTCACCATGAAGTTTATTTTCCTTGTGGGTAAAGAATGTTCTCTTTTTGTTTGTTCTGTCTGTGGCAGACAATGTTGTTTGGGTAAAACTACGGATTCGTTAAATTTGCACGTTATTATGTAGTGGATACGTTAAAACTTTACATTTCAACAGCACTGTAACCTGTGGTTAGGTTAAGGCACAAAAATCACTTGGTTATGGTTAGGAGAAGATCATGTTTTAGCTTAAAGTACCCCATTTTGGGGGCACAATCCCGGCAGGAAAAGCAGCGATTCATGCCACTATCCCAGCTGAAAAGACAACCACGGGTTACTAAATCACAACTGGTTTAGTTGCGTGTTGGCCTCAAACAGTGGTCAGAAGCTTGGCAGACATCTCACTG